ATTACATGACGGTGAGGAGTACAGCTGTACAGGGTAACATTTATCCTTGTCTATAACAAAACAGGACTGTGCTTGCAAAGATGTGTCCCTTTGATGACAAATCAATGACTTTGGCCTATCAAAGTACTCCTCCTGGCATCGCCATGGAATATGGCACTCCCGTTTATTCAACGAACCAGCGAGAACTTGAGTGGGAAACTGTTTAGGTTTAATAAGGCACTGAAATAGTGTCCATTTATAGATAACGTTTTGAAGGTGTTGTTGCATATTAAATTTCGTCAAGTGATAATTATATTGTCCAAATTTTATTTGATGTCAACAAATTGTTTTTAGACATAAATATATACAAATATGAAGTTTAACAGTCCAATATCTTAATTTTAAAAAACATGGACATAGAACAAAATAATTATCACTTGACGATTTGTGTTTAGTGAGTTTCTTTTTTTTTGGGGGGGGGGGCGGGGGTTGGCTCAGAGTCATGTATTTTATGATGGGGTGTACTGCTAGTTGACATAGTTGTCACACACTGTTACAAGTGGGTAGGGAGGGGTAAAGGTGAATGGCCCCTTAGAGTTTTTACCAGTGGACCAACTGTTCAGGGTTGCAAACTGATTAGAACTGAACTACGGGTGGGTTGGAGCAGCATTTTTGATATGGCACAAGCTGATTTCACCGGACTTCAAATCCGGTGTAAATAGCTTGTATGTGTTCATTTGGGTAAAGTAATAAACCTTTGCAAAAAACCTTTCCATTCTCGTACACAGAGTCCTTTTTTCGAATCCATTCTTTTCTATTTCGAGTCCGGGTTTTCAAAACTCATGTCCGGGTTTTCTCAAAGACCAGTTCAGTTTTCTCGAGTCCGGATTTTCTTCGAGTCCGGTACATCCGGTATGCTAGGGTGTCGGGCCTGACCGCCTGACACGCAGGCTTGTAGTATCACCATGGTATCACAGGCAGTGAACTGTAAATAACCTGGAACGATAATTATAAGTAATAGCATAGTTGCCCGGGTTTCTTTTGTTTCAACAGGGTCGATTACTAACTAATCGCCCGCTGTAGCGGGCGATTAGTTCTAATCGCCCGCTGTAGCGGGCGATTAGAACTAATCGCCCGTTACCAAGGGTCACACCTTTGTCTCCCTGACGACTACGCATTAGGCAAGTGCCTCACGCACATAATCGTGCAAGGAACAGCAACAGTTAGCTCAGAGCCGTCAATAGTCTATCATCCGATCCCTGAGTTGCCGCATCATTTAAATTACGTTCGTGCAGTCTCCAATTTTATACTAATATATTTAGCGTTTTGTTGTGGTACGTTAAATGATAGATTGCGCATGCGTAACCGATTAAAGCGTAAAAAGTGCGCATGTGCAACAAGCTTTTACATCCCACAAGCAATGAAGCAAATGTTTTAGCTTAAATACGCTGATTCCAAGTAGGGCATGTTTGTCCATTTTTAAATGGGAGCGAAACTATGCTATTACAAACTAATAGCATGGCTTTTCGGGAGATTAGTGATTAAATGACCCCTTACCCTCGGCAGGTTTGCGGAATTCCCTCGGGCTTCGCCCTCGGGAATTCCGCAAACCTGCCTCGGGTTACGGGGCCATTTAATCACTAATCTCCCTCAAGCCATGCTATTACTTATAATAAACATGCCCATACCAGTGAACTCTAATAATAACTGGAAGGCTAAGTCAGGGGGGGAAATTGAAGCCGTGCTTGAAGCTTTTTTTGTAGGTAGACCCAGTCCTTTTTAATTTTTTTTTTCAAAATATGCACATTTTTTGATCAGAAAAATCTTGCCCAAAAATATTAGTTATACTACCAAATTTAATTTATATTAGTAGTATGATAAATGAATTTAATATTCGCAAAGCAAACAAATCACGAATTAGCAAAAAAAATGCTAAAAACACGACCATAAGCATGAACGGTCTGAAAAACCGCGCGTTTTAGGCTGCTTTTTCTGAGTTTTTGGAAGTTTAAGATAAAACTAAGACGTCATACCTCAGGAATTTTTTATACCCATGCAAAATACATCTGTATGCGAAGTTTCAAGAAGATTTAACGTTTTAAAGTCGAAAAAAAAGCATTTGAAAATTGACAAAAATATTGCCATATTCAAAGTGCTCATAGTGGCCAACAAGATGCCGATGACGAAAATAACATCACTTGAAAAACGCCAATTTATTTATGTTTAAGAGCGACTAAAACAAGGACTAAAAGCTCAGGATCAATAACAATACCTGGGGTTTAGTACAACATAAGTTTTGGGACTGTCAAAATGTTTTATAGCATATATTTTTTAGTTGAACGGCGAGATTTCCTTCGGCACGTCCAAACTTTCGTCATTTTTTCAAAATACAAAAGCAAAATTCCTTACTTTTTGCTGCAGAGAGATGTAAAACAGTCGGAACTAATCGGAAACTTGGTTTAAATCCCAATCATTGTTATATTCCCATGGGAAAAGTGTTTTTCTTGCAAATTTTTGCTCGAAAACAAACTTTTGACAGAATTTTTTTCACTCCTCGAAACTCTCCTTAGTCCTTTTGAAAGCTGATTTTCCCGCGCGCCGGCTTCAACGAATCTTGCCCGAAGCCAAGATGGCGGCCAGTAATGCGTGTTTTTTGCGTGGCTATGTCACGAAGTGTCGGTCGGCAGAGAACGCATGGTAATGGCGCGATTTTATTTTATATTGAAAGACCGACAAATTTGGGGTTTTTTATTTCAATTATATAAGATATTTGCATTCTTTTGACAGCAATTATAATACGAAATATATTTCTTGGTAATAAGATACAATCAATCGTGTATTAAAGTTATTTTACAAGGATATCAAGCGGCATCGTTTAAATATTGGTGACTTCAATAAAAAAAAGTCGAACGTTCCAACAGCGACGAATTGCTTCTGTTTCAATTATATTTGTGGACTCCAGTCGACGAATAATTGATTACAAGATAAGTATTGAATTATTTTTACTTTTTCATGATAACTATTGGTTTTTAAACAAGATCAACTTGTTTAAACGAGGCCTGTCATGTACTGGGTATTCCATTCTCAATTCTGCACAACAGACTCGCTGCAGTGCTTGCCGTACTGTGAAGTGTAAAACAGTAAAGGAATCGCTCGTGACTCATGAAGAAAACGTGATAGAATTAGTTTATAAAAAGTAAATATCTGCTTTTAATAAAACTAACTAGTTAAGTAAGTGGTACATCTTAATTATAGTATTTTCTCACGATTTCAATGACATAATTTTCGACCAGATGACAAAACTTTCACACATATTTATGACTATTTTATATCACACCGATTTTATGATGAACTCTTCTTGCAGTCTGTCAATAAATTGTGCCATGTTCCCTATCTTCTTACATCTTTGCAATTGCTGCTGTAAGTTTTTAATTTTATGTTTTAATTGTTTTTTAGAAATTTCTTGATCTTGAAGTGAATTATTGATTGCCTGCAGTGGTGTCTGTTGTATTAGTTTTTGCCGTTTTCCATAGCAGTGATTATGATATCACACAATAGGAAGGTATAGCAGAAGTGTATCTTGAGTTGGTGCCTTTGATGTTTTTGTCCACTGAAATTTTAACTTGCTCACACCAATCCATGCCATCCTGGCTAAAACAGCCGGTAAAGTACAAAGTACCAGTTGTACTTGCCAGGATGGCAAATGATGGCGTAATATTGGTGTCAGCTGTGTTGTCAGGCTTATCGCTCATGTGCATTGAAAAACACGGACAGATTTTTGCTTGAGTTACACTTCTGCTATTAATACCTTCCTGTATTATGTGATGATATTGTTGTTGACAATAGCAGGGTTGGTAAGTTAGATGAATAATTAGGCCAAATCATCACTGGTGCACTATTAGAACACAAAGGCCTAGTGTGACGGTGTTTGGCCTAGTTATTCAGCAAACCTACCAACCCTGGACAATAGATGCTCATGTGACATAATTGGATGTTTATGGCCTTGATGGGTTGAACTTCCTTCAGGCATTTTCAGTTGGCTTCTAGCCTCTTTTGGTATGCTTTGCAGTTTGAATTCCAATTTGAATACTGATGGTACAGCATTTTTTTTTGCCTGCACGACCCTGTTGAGGATGGTGTAGTCAGGGGTGGATGTATAGGGGGGTGCACAAGGGTGTGACCCCTGTTGACCAAGGTCAACAGGGGTGCAAAAAAATCAAATTTGTACCCATTGTCATGAATATGTACCCATTGTCATAGTAGTGTTTACTATTGAAATGTAAATAAATTGAATATTAATAAATATTTTAAAGTTTCAATTGTTTTGTAATTTCTTACCTGTGGAATGCAGTATATGTTTTGCTTTCATTTTCCTGACGCAAGTTTTGTTTTCATAAACGACACAAGTAACTGGCATTTATTATTCCAGTCAATAACAAACTAATTTTGCAGTTTAAACTTTTTTTCCAACTTTGTTTATTACAAAAATGTTAAAAAATAACAAATTACTTGCGCTCTGCCAGCCAGATATGGACTGGGGCGATATGAAAAACACTCATTTTCCCCCGAAGATTTTTTACATGTTTAATCTGATTTTAACTTTAAAACAATAAGTTTCTGGATGCTCGGAAATGAATTTCTAACAGTATCTAAGCTTTTCTCAAATAACTGACGCCAAAATGTCTCCGAACCCTTTCTGGAAAGTCTACTAACACAGAAAAACTAAAAATTTTCGCGCGGTTTTCTCGTGTTGTTCGTCTTGTACGTGTGATATTTCTGTTGTTTGGTAAGCATTTTTTATTTTAAGCACATTTATTTAAAGTTCTTTTGTCTTAGTTTAATATAAGGAGGAGTTGGCAAGTGCTTAACAAAAAGAAAAGGGCAAAATTTATCGATTTTCAAAAAATTTTTTGACGCCATTTTGTAAAAAAGGACTGGGGCAACCTGCAAACTCATCACTCATGAGTGGCTTCAAAGATGGCGGCGGAGTTATCGTTCCAGGTTATTTACAGTTCACTGATCACAGGTAGTATGCCGAATATATTTCGCTGAAGAAAAGCTTGGCAAAGCTTGGCAGGAAAAGCGAAGAAAAGTGTGTGTTTTCATAATTTCATATTTATATTAATATATTTTGTATTGGATAAGTGAATCCGAATCCCGCCAAAGGCTTATTTGATCTCAGGTATGAAATAAAATATGAAAATATACTGAAAATATATGCATTATTCTTCTCGTCTTCTTGCAATGCATATGCCTTATAGTTGCGCCGAGTTTACAACACATCGCTTCCATTTAGTTAAATTTGTTAAATAGTCCAAAATCGTTTTACAATCAAAACGAGTTTTCTCTTGGACCTCTTGCACACCTTGATATAAATTGTCAAATATTTGGCTTGATCAATTATGTTAATCTGACAGCATATTCCCTAAAGGCTTCATTTTTTTCCCAAGTGAATACGAATTCATATTGTGTGAGTGGAAAGTACTTTCTCTTATGTAAATAGCAGTTTAAATACGAAAATTTTGAATTTCTATTTATGTGGGAATATTGCAAATTATACAAGAGAACACCCAATTTTTTACTGTAATGAGATAAGAAGTTAAAACAACAGGTGCAGTGTAATATTATGCAATTTTGTTGCATCGCTGGCCTATTACCAAGCAACTGTACTACTTTTATTTAATTGAAAATTTATTATTTAAACAATACACAATTTTCTTCATAACCAGTTATCGAAAACGAGGTTGGCGTTTGGCAATGCCGACCTAAATGCGGACCTATCAACCTCCCAGGTCGGCAAATTTTTTGCCGACGTTAATTCAGCCAAAGTAAGATTTTTTGGTGCTGATAGCTGTTAAAAAGTCTGATTATAGAATTTGATTCGTTGTTCGATAACTAAACACACTTTGGTGTGAGGTTTAAAAATTGACAGGTATTCTATAATAATTTAGGTAACACGATGGTTTAGAAAAGCTGTCGTGTTACTGTAGTTCGCGTTTCCGTGGAAAAAGGCATGCTTTATATACCGATTTCAATGATTCGCTAACACGTGATTACTAGTGTTCCAAAACATGGAAACAGATTTTAAGAAATGCCGAGACGTGCCGACTGAGGTCAGATTTAGGTCGGCATTTTTTTGCCAAAAAAGTGTTGTATCTCTTGGTCATGCTACTTGTGAAGACCTGAGCATGACTAGCTTATTATTTCATACAAGAAACACTGGATTCTGATTGGATAATTGTCGCTCGTACATGCCCAGTATGGCCGGCCATTCAGAACAGGCTTTTAGCCAGGACCCTGGAAGGGGGCGTCCAATTTTGGTATAATGACACATCTACTGTAGGGGGTTGGGAGTCGAAAAAATGTTCGTCTGGAAAACCTTTGAAGTTTGGGTCTGAGACTCTCAAACAGTATTAGACGTTTACAATACTTTACGTCAATATCTGTTCAGTCTACTAAAGCTCATTTGAGATTTTTCAAATACCCCTGGCTTTGTGAGATTTGTGCCGCTGTTCAAACAGGTACACCATTTAATGAATGATAATATTCAAAATTGAAGCTATTTCGTTATAGATATATTAATATATTTTGGGAACTCATTGAGAATAATTTCCCTTTCCCCTGAATTTGGCCGTCCAAAGGCGTCCATTTTTTGCTGTAGGCCATCCCAGGACGCCTGGCGAAATGCCTGGTTCAGAATGTTTTGGTCATATAAATTTTGAATATTTTGAATATCCCATATAAATTTTGAATTTTTTATCTAAAAACAAAACGATTGCAAGTTAAAAAGGATGTTGAAAAATGTGATTTATTTATTTATAACAAAAAGGAGACAAAATTACATAGACATTTTAGGCTTCTTAGCAATGTTATTTTAAATGTTATTTATTTATACATTATTTATTTATAATGTTATTTATTTATAACAATAAGGAGACAAAATGTCATAGACATTTTAGGCTTCTTATCAGCTGGTGGTGTGCACAGTCGGCAGAATCATGCATTTTGAAAACATTTAATATATTGAATAATGCTCAATTTATATGACAAAATGTTTCTGGGCCTTGAATGGCTATGACACATTGTACATACTAAGACTGTCTGCTTAGTTTATATTTTGAAATTTGATCAATTCCATTATGTTTGTCATAAATGATGATGTGTTTCAGTGTTTACAACCATAGGCGTACGGGAGTGGAAAAAATAGAAACTTGAAAACGACATTTGCCCGACTTTTGCATTTTGCCCGACCAATCAAATTCCTGCTAAACTTCAGAAACTTTCGAAAAGCTAAACATTTTTTTCCACATTGCCCTATTTTCTTGCATTTTTTACTATTATCTTACATATTTCTTGTTTTTCAGTTTATTTTCCCCACTTTTTCCCAACTTATGTTCAAAATTTGCCCAACTTATCGACATTTCAATTTTTCTGGGGGGGGGGGAGCTGTCCCCCGCCTCGTACGCCTATGTTTACAACATAGCCATAGGAAAATTGAATTATAAAAAAAAACATACACTTTATGCATGTGTCAGTCAACAAAAAAGGTTTTGACAATACCAATAATTACAATACTTTTTAACAATAAGTTTAAGGTCAATGGTTTTTGATTCGCTAAAATACCATGTTTTCTTGTATAGAATCACTAGTTAGACATATTTAGTAGGGTCCTTGTTACAAAATTCAATTTTTTGTACAATATTTTTTTTGCAATTTTTCCTAGAAACGCGAGCTGCACCAAATAACTCCATTCTCTTCAAGTATGATTCGCCGTCGCATATTATCATTGCTTTCGATTTTAGTGGGGACTTCTCTGTTCTTGTGTTGGAAGATATTTCTGAGCTATGATCATGGTACAGTTCTGCAAGTTCGTCAAGAGAACGCTCGTGAAGATGTATCAATTTCGCTTTTAATAAGGATGTCCGGCGAACGAGAAGATCACAAGATTCGATTTTATTGTAACATGCTCAAGACAGTGGTTCTCTTTTGGCCACCGTCGCTAGGTAAAATGGTAATTGTGCTCGATAAGGAGTCCGAGGAGGATCATAGGTTTGGAGACCAACTCAGCAAACAGACCCGTGAACACTTTCCCAGCTATACGTTTGAAATACGCTATGAGCCATTACCGAAAGATGGAACTATCTTAGATTTCCCTGGTCAACGAAAACCGCCTGGCTATAATCGCCAGTTATGGAGCAGTTTCTTCATTGATCTTTACACAAATGACGACATCGTAGCATGGCTAGATACCGACTCGCCTTTCCTGTTGCCAGTCACAATGCCAACTATCGTGACCGATGGAAAAGTTAGAATACTGGGATCTAGTTGTACGATGGATATCAAATGGGTGAAGTCTTGGGCACAAACCACCGAAAAGGCGATAGGGTTTCCTCAGCTGGCCGATTTTATGACCTATTTCCCCGTGTACATCTATCGTGACACTTTCACTCGTTGCAGGGAGTACATACTCAAGAGATTCAATACTGACAACTTTGAAGTAGCGTTCAAGAAATTCTACCATACAGGAACTGGTTTCATCTCCCCTGTCTCCGTTGTCATAAGCTACGCCTGGTACTTCGAAAAGGATCGATACAGTTGGAATTTAGAGATTTGCGGCGATCTCAATACGTACAATAATCGATTGCCTGAAGGTCATAAAATTCAACCTGAGCATGTAAAAGAGGTCCTAACACAGCCGCAAACCGCGTACCACGGGCCTTTAGACACCGCCGACTTTTACGCAAAAGCCATACCGATCACTTACTGTTTGTCGCAGGCGGCCGCTGGACGAAAAGTAGCAATGTGCGAGAAGTATTCATCGTCTGACATTAACTATTTATTGAACATTTTCAATGCCGATATGCATTCGTTCAGGAGAAAAGATCCCCATCCGTGTACTGGAAAGAACACCAAAAGCTGTTTGGATATTTTGGAGCGTTACATTGAAAAAATCGGGGCAGAAATTAGAACAAATTTACGAAGACTCGAATGGGAAGATTTCGAGAAGGTCGACACGTTTGCCCGCGAGGCGGGTCTTACCTGCCCTGCTCATCCTGTCTAAAAGTGCTAAATTCTTGGAAATTTTTTAACATCAGCATGATAACGAGAATTTAACCAACAATGGTCATTCTGAGAATAGTATTTCAGATTCATCGTTTCGTTTAGTTCTAGTAATCGTCAGGATTCCTTATTTTAATATTTATTTTATAGCGAGAATCAATCCAACACTCATTTGACGTCTGTAGTTTTTACCACTGGACCACGTGTTCAAAGTAGCCAACTTATCATAGCTGAACTTATCATAGTGATCTTAATTCTTTATTCTGTGATATAAGACTCAGTCAAAATGGCGGGAGCTTACAGAAAGCTTTTAATATTAGTCTATTTTGGTATTATATAAAACAAATAATGAATGTTTTTATTCGTGCAATGGTAAGAATATTTTCATTCGGTGAAAGATGGAATGTTCTATTCAACTCGGCTGTCGCCACGTTGAATGGAACAATCCATCTTTCACCTCATGAAAATATTCTTACCATTGCACGAATAAAAACATTCATTATTTGTAATAACTAAAGTTATTTTTAGTTCAATGGTCTCGATGTTTTAAATGGAAGTTTTTCTTACAACGCCATCTTGTATTGAAAGTTTCAATGATTTTTTTGGTAACTAATTATGGTTTACTTCTTTGAAAATGCAAAGAAGGAGATCTTTCTGACACAAGAGTTTTTCACTAAAAGTATTCTAGATATTATTCCAAAAACTATAGCACTAGCTGCACCGCCTTACTCTAACTTAGCGTATTGTAAAGAATAATATAAGACTCCTTTTAAGCTTCCACTGGTTAAGAAAAGATGGAACATCTTCATAACCTGTCAGCAAAAGATGGGACATCTTTCTGACACAAGAGTTTTCACTAAAAGTATTCTAGATATTATTCAAAAACCTAGCGCTATATATCGCTGCACGCGCCGCTTTACTCTATATAACTTAGCGTGATGTAAAGAATAACATAGAACTTTTTTAAGCTTCCACTGGTTAAGAAAAGATGGGACATCTTCATAACCTGTCAGCAAAAGATGGGACATCTTTCTGACACAAGAGTTTTTCACTAAAAGTATTCTAGATATTATTCCAAAAACCATAGCACTAGCTGCACCGCCTTACTCTAACTTAGCGTATTGTAAAGAATAATATAAGACTCCTTTTAAGCTTCCACTGGTTAAGAAAAGATGGAACATCTTCATAACCTGTCAGCAAAAGATGGGACATCTTTCTGACACAAGAGTTTTCACTAAAAGTATTCTAGATATTATTCAAAAACCTAGCGCTATCGCTGCACGCACCGCTTTACTCTATATAACTTAGCGCGATGTAAGAATACTATAGAACTTTTTAAAGCTTCCACTGGTTAAGAAAAGATGGAACATCTTCATAACCTGCCAGGAAAAGATGGGACATCTTTCTGACACAAGAGTTTTCACTAAAAGTATTCCAGATATTATTCAAAAACCTAGCGCTATCGCTGCACGCACCGCTTTACTCTATAACTTAGCGCGATGTAAGAATACTATAGAACTTTTTAAAGCTTCCACTGGTTAAGAAAAGATGGAACATCTTCATAACCTGTCAGCAAAAGATGGGACATCTTTTTGGCGTCCGAGTTTCCACTATATCAGGGTGTCCCAAAAAACCCGAAAACTATTGAAATCACTTATTGTTAAAATTGAATGCCCTACCAAAAAGCTGAACGTAATGATGCGTAAAATATTGACAAGGTGCATGTATTAAAATTGAGTTAAGAACATCTCCTTGTAAAGTGCGCGATTTTCTGCTCATGGGAATTTAAAGCAGCTTCTTAAATAGTTTCTTTATGCATAAAATTTACTTATGTCAATCATTTATGCACTCGTGGGAACCAACAGAGTACTTAGGCATTCAAATTCTAACAATTAAATTGTTATTGGTGATTTCAATAGTTTTCGGGTTTTTTGGGACACCCTGTTTATTCAGAAAGTATGTAATGCGCTTATAGGTAATTTGCAATGCGGCGCACTGCGCTCTCATGCAAAGAACAAATGAATAATATAAAAGGTTCTTTTATTATACCAGCCACTGTATACATAAATTCGTTCATTTATTAGCGATTCTCAGCAGCCTTTCGCGCTCGTATTCGACTTTTCCGCTTTGCTCGGGAGACAACCTTAATTGAAATAGCTGTATATATATGTAAATAAATATTATTTGTCTTGTGCTGCCATGTGTCAAAATATAGAAATGAGAATATTATAATGAATATATTACAATCAACTCGCGGTTGTGATAGCTCTCGGCTTGAAAGCCGTGGTACTACTGGCGTATCTAGCATACTGTATACTAAAGCAAATAATAACGGATTAAGTGATGCGATACCTACAGCTTTTTGACTATTACCTAACCTTACTGATTGAAAATACTTCGCATTAATATTTAGTAAGCAGCCATCAAAATATTGCCAGTTTGTTTGATCTTGATCTCCATTCTGAATCCATACCCACGATTGTCAAGCAAAATGCACTCTTTCATCAGACCAGATTTTGTCTGCTAACATTATCATGAATTGGTGATGACAACCTGGTTTGTAGAGGTGAATAGGTTTTCGGATCGTCGGATTTCACAGAAAAAATTGTTCGGATCTGGCGAATATTTTACACGGTTTGCGGATCTTATTAATACAGCAAATTATTGCGGATTTATCTAATATTTGGGCTCGGATTGTGGATTTAGCTTGCAATTTAAGTTCGGATCCTGGATTGTGTCATCAGTTCGGTTACTTGCTACATCAGTCTGTATAGGGTTAAATTTCATGCACGCATAAATTATTTCACTATAAATTCATTACCGTATACATGTCACCATTCTTACCAAATCGACTACATAACCAACACCTTCAAGATAATTCAATTTATAGGAGTGCGGGTCATCATAATGTAGACAGAATAATGAAAGTGCAACAGTGATGTATTTATACGTGATTCTTGTTCACGTGGTTTAACTATATATTGTACTTATCCTGTTTCAAAATATCATTTACGAACAATTGAAAATACTTTATTTAATAGTCAATTGTATATTGATGTGTTTCATAATATCTTGTTTCACGGCAAGAGCATTGGCCTTATTATATAGGTCAGCGGGCAAGAGTCTCTGTTCAGTATGGCGTGTACGAATTCGTCACGCGAAAAACACGTTCGGATTGTGCACGCATAAAGGCCCATACTGACCGGACGCGATTTGGTAACGCGACGCGAATTTTCAGTTTTCAATGACATTTAACTTTAATATTTTTTAATGTTTTTCAAATATTCGGAACCACTTGAGCAATTTTAGCTATTTGGTCTGCATATCTTGTAAAATTTTTATCCGTTGACGGTTTTATTTGTTTTTGAAAACTGAAAATTCGCGTCGCGTTACCGAGTCGCGTTACCGAATCGCGTCCGGTCTGTGCGGGCCTTAAGACAAATGCAGTTACTGTGGGTTTTTACTACGATGGATTTTTTTAAATGTGCAACTAAATATCGTCCTACAATTAGAATTGTAAATATTTTAATCTGGAATAGTCGTTTTATCGCAAATTACTGGTATATCGACGACCTGTTTATGCACGCATATATTATTTTCCCAGTCTAGAGTCGGTTAAGTGCTTGGCGGCCATTCGCTTTTAAAAAGTTGTCGATTGGCTACTAGGTAGGGTGGGGCAACGATTTATTGCTATTCGTACTGATTCATGTACGCGTAGCGTACCTATTTTTAAAATTGTTAGCAACTTGATAGAATAGCATGATATTGAGACACGGTTTGCTTAAAATCAATACTCAATTTGCACTCCTGAACACTGTCGTTCTTCCAAAAATATTGCTTTCTGTTTTGCTACTCGTAAGTCGATTTGTTATAGGTTACCGATTACACTATTACAGCCAGAGTTAGTAGATGCTCCAAATACGGTAAAACTAAAAATATGGCATAGCGAAATAGTTCGCTACAGCAGTAGCTGTAGTCAGTAGCGAACTAGGCTCACGAGCAAACGAGTTGACTTTTTCAAAATTTTCCCATTCGAGTCTTCGTAAATTTGTTCTAATTTCTGCCCCGCTTTTTTCAATGTAACGTCGTCAACCTTGTATTAACATTCTTGTTATATCATGACTGTATCAGACTTGTTAGGATAACCTTGCAACAAGTCTAACAATGTCATCAAGCTTGTTGCAAGTTGTTAACAGCTTGTTCCAAACTTGTTAAAACAACCGGGAACAAGCAGTGCGAACACAACTTGTCGACAGCTTGCGAACAGATTTGTAACAACTCGTTTGCAGACTTGTAACAACTTGTGCGTTTTTACGTGTGTAGTTCGGCTACACACGCAAGAATCTCGCATCTTGTAACAAGTCTGCCAACAAGCCGTCAACAAGTTGTGTTCGCACTGCTTGTCCCAAGTTGTCAACAAGTTTGGAACAAACTGTTAACAACTTGTAACAACCTTGTTGATAGTATCAGACTTGTTGCAAGGTTATTCCAACAAGTCCGATACAGTCATGATATAACAATATTGTTACAACTTTGTGTCATCAACCTTGTAACATTCTTGTTATATCATGACTGTATCAGACTTGTTAGAACAACCGTGTGACAAGTCTGATAATGCCATCAAGCTTGTTACAAGTTGTTAACAGCTTGTTTCAAACTTGTTACAACAACTGGGAACAAGCAGTGCGAACACAACTTGTTGACAGCTTGTGAACAGATTTGTAACAACTTGTTTGCAGACTTGTAACAACTTGTAACAACGTCTGTCAAATGAGTAATATGGACCGATTCTCGCCGAACAAGTATTTTTATATTTTTTAGCATTTTTTTTCTAAAATACTCTCCCAGGGGCCAGGATATTTATAGTTACTTAATCCCCCCCATTGAACACATATAAGCAATTTATTGAGGATTTAAAAACAGGCGAAATTGAAGAAAAATTTCACACAAGGCACCAGCTCATTTTACCGGGCTTTACTGTAAATCCCCCATTAAGAGTTCAAATTTAGACTTTTATCCTATGGGGGGCCGCTTTGGTGTTTATATAGGATAAACACAGTTAAAAGGATGCGGCAAAATATTTTATTATTTCATTTTAAAGAACTTTTAAAATTATATATAAATCTCCTTTACCGGTTTTGCGTAACTTTATTATTTCTTGAGATATTTGAAAAGAAAAAATCACAAATCAGCAAGCTTTCCGCCCATCTTGGATTTTGGCGGATATGCATGTGACATCATAAGCAGGGAGCCCAACAACATATAGTTCAGTAACTATTTGAAATAAAAAACTGTCTGACGACTTTTCAAACAAGACTTAATGTTATTTGGTCATTTAGATGTAGTTTTATATGGCTAAGCCTGCTTATGACGTCACTAAAATCACCGATAATGAGATCAAAATTAATCCAAGATGGCCGACAGCAAATTATTTTAAGTCAAAATATTTGAAGTAATAATAAAGTTACGCAAAATCGGCAAAGGAGATTAACATATAATTTTAAAAGTTCTTTAAAATAAAATAATAAAAATATATATTGCCGTATCCCTTTAAGAACGTAAGGGAAAGTACATCTATTACACCGAGGGAGGGGGATGAAGATGTCTTGAAAAAAGCTCATATTTTTACAGGGCCTCTGTTGAGGTTATCGGTAAATTTCGATGCCCCCCTCCAAGTTTTTAAAATTCGGAATCGAAGGAGTACAATCCAGAATTCTCTCTTATCATAGATACAATTTGCAGTTCCTCAAGATGTCTGATATACTCAAGCATTGGGTCTGGGGGTCCTCACCCAGAAAATTATTACATTTTTGAAGCTCTAGGACTGAATTTCTGGCGTTTTCTAAAGCAAATTTCGCAAACAAATTGCATGTAAATTGACTGTATTTTACAAAAATAGTTATCATTTCACAAAAATAATTACTTTATTACGCAAATTTTACCTGAAAATGTAAAAATTTTAACTTTAATTTGCTGGGGTCAAACCTTTGAAAAGTTTAGAGCCCCCCCCTTTAGTATATCAAGAACTTTCAGAGCCCCCCCTTTAATGCCAGAAAATATTTCGGAGCCCCCCTTAACATCTTCACCCTCGGCATAATAAATGTACTTTCCCTGATATCACAATTGTTGTAAAGATAAAGTATATCTAGGCTAAATATGTAATTAGGTAAGCGTATAATACTTGACATCGTAATCCTATTTATGGAGAAAAAGCACAGAACGTATTTTCAAATATAGCGCTGGTAATGCCACAGAATAATTTAAATAATTAAGATCACTAGTTCAGCTACGATAAGTTGGCTACTTTGAACACGTGGTAAAAACTACAGACGTCAAATGAGTGTTGGATTGATTCTCGCTATAAAATAAATATTAAAATAAGGAATCCTGACGATTACTAGAACTTAAAGTAAACGAAACGATGAATCTGAAATATTATTCTCAGAATGATCATTGTTGGTTAAATTCTAGTCATCACGCTCATGTTTTTAAAAAATTCCAAGAATTTAGCATTTTTAGACAGGAAGAGCAGGGCAGGTTAGACCAGCCTCACGGACAAACGTGTCGACCTTCTCGAAATCTTGCCATTCGACTCTTCGTAAATTTGTCCTAATCTCTGCCCCGATTTTTTCAATGTAACGCTCTAAAATATCCAAACAGCTTTTGGTGCTCTCGGCCGGGTTCTTGCCAGCGCAAGGATGCGGATTTTTTCTCCTGTGGGCATGCGTATCGGAATTGAAAAGGTGTAATAAATAGTTAATGTCAGACGGTGGGTGTTTCTCGCACATTGCAACCTTTCGTCCCGCGGCTACCTGCAACAAACAGTAAGTCATCGGTATGGATTTTGCGTAAAAGTTGACAGTGTTGAAAGGCCCGTGATAAGCTGTTTGTGGAAGTGTTATGACACCTTTTACATGCTCAGGCTGAATTTTATGACCTTCAGGCAATCCTTTATTGTACGCATTGAGATCGCCGCAAATCTCTAAATTCCAACTGTATCGATCCTTTTCGAAGTACCAGGCGTAGCTTATGACAACGGAGACAGGGGAGATGACACCAGTTCCTGTATGGTAGAATTGCTTGAACGCTGCTTCAAAGTTGTCAGTCTTGAATCTCTTAAGTATGTACTCCCTGCAACGAATGAAAGTGTCACGATAGATGTACACGGGAAAATAGGTCATAAAATCGGCCACCTGGGGAAACCCTATCGCCTTTTCGGTGGTTCGTGCCCAAGACTTCACCCAACTGATGCTCATTGTACAACTAGAGCCCAGTATTCTAACTTTTCCGTCGGTGATGATAGTTGGCATTGTGACAGGGAACACGAAAGGCGAGTCGCTATCTAGCCATGCTACGATGTCGTCATTTGTGTAAAGGTCGATTAAGAAACTGCTCCATAACTGGCGATTATAGTTAGGCGGTTTTAGTCGACGAGGGAAATCTAAGATAGTTCCATCTTTCGGATATGGTTCATATCCTATTTCAAACGTATAGCTGGGAAAGTGTTCGCGGGTCTGTTTGCTGAGTTGGTCTCCAAATTTATGATCCTCGTCGATTTCCTTGTCGAGCACAATTACCATTTTACCTAGCGACGGTGACCAAAAGAGAACCACTGTCTTGAGCATATTACAATAAAATCGAATCTTGTGATCTTCTCGTTTGCCGGACATCCTTATTAAAAGCGAAACACTAGATACATTCTCGTGAGCGTCCTCTTGAAGAACTTGCAGAACTGTACCATGATCATAGCTCCGAAATATCTTCCAACACAAGAACAAAGAAGTCCCCAATAAAATCGAAAGCACTACTAATGTGGGACGACGCATCATTTGAAGAGAACGGAGTTGTTTGGTGCTGCTCTTTTCTAGGAAAAATTGAAAAAAAAAAATTTATACCGAAGTTTAGCAGCGAATTTGACTGGTCGGGCAAAATGCAAAAGTCAGGCAAATTTCGTTTTCAAGTTTCTATTTTAACACTCCCGTACGCCTCCCAGCGGGCAAAATGACGTTTATCCAACGTTGAATCAACGTTGGAAATGACCTTCCATGAGACGTTGGATAGACGTTGAAAAAGGGTTGACTATGCAAATTGGATCGACGTTACTGTTTCGACGTTGAAACAACGTAGAAATTAGGTTGCCAATCTCGTCAACCATAATTCAACGTTGAATCCACGTTAAAACAACGTTGAGATTGGTTCACAAATCGACGTCGTACATTTAACCATGAATGAACGTTGATTCAACGTCTGTTGGCTGCTGTTGAACCAATGTTTGTAAAACAACGTCAGAGCAACGTAGATATTAGGTTGTCGACGTCGCAACCTTTTTTCTACCAAATTTCAACGTTGAAACAACGTCGTGTGCCCGGTGGGCTGTGGTTGTAAACATTGATACACATCATCATTGTCTTGACAAACGTGATGGAATTGATCAAATTTCAAAATATAAACTAAACAGTCTTAGTATGTACAACGTGTCATAGCCATTCAAGGCCCAGAAACATTTTGTCATATAAATTGAGAAACATTTTGTCATATTAAATGTTTTCAAAATGCGTGATTCTGCCGACTGTACGCACCACCAGCTGAAAGCTCAGCCTAAAATGTCTATGTCATTTTGTCTCCCTTATAAATAAATAAATAAATCATAACGCCCTTTTTAACTTGCAATCGTTTTATTTTTAGATAAAAAATTAAAAATTTATATGGGGGGGGGGGAGGGGGAGGCGAATCTCATAGGATATTCGCCACCGGGGGCAATATTCCTACTAGGAATATCGACCCCTTTTGCAGAAATTTCACTATCAAAAAGGAAAAATTCAGGATGAAGGAAAATTCAGGAAATCTTCCCAAATTCGAGAAATCTAAGCCTAGGAAATTCTTCAAAAAAGATGTTGACTTATATATATATATATATATGTTATTTACAGGCTTGCGAGGTCTTGAACCACTCACGTGCAGGGCCGTGCCGACCGGGGGGGGGGGGCAATTTCAGGTAAATCCAGGTAGATTTGCAGAAGAAATTCAGGTAAATGAACACAAATTCAGGTAATTTCTAGATAAAATATTTTTCTTCCTGGCAGCAGGCTTCCCAAACCTAAAACTGATTTCCTGCCAATTGTTTTTATAAAATATGAATTTTGGTTGTAATTCAATAACAGCGTTGTATATACTACCTTAATAAGCCATGCCATATACTACCTCAATATTAAGAAAAATATAGGTTTACTAGAATTAGGAACATGAAGGAATTCTATGAAACAATATTTGAATTCTGTTTTCAGATTGTAAATGTGAATTTATATCAGTATTCATGCACTATTCAATAATAGTAGTACGCCCTTGTTTTTCACATGTATCATAATCATGAATCATCATATTAAAGAGACAGTCGTAGCACTGCCACATGATACAAATTTTTATGTTATGATTGTTGTATTTATGCTCTGATTGTGATGTTTGTTACTTTAGTGCTGATTTTTGAAATTTCTCGAGCTTCATTCTTCCATTTTTCGCCCTCCCCCCCCCTAAATAGCGACTGCTACGCAGGCTACATTCTTGATATCTTGCTTTAAATCCTTAAACATTTCCTGTGAGATCAAAAAAATTTCCTGGCAGCATGCTGGCAGACTTTCTCATGCCTTGTTATTGTTATATATGTATTGATGTAAGCCCCAATAAGCAGTTTGCTTTTAGGGTAAACATCGAATAATAAATGTTAAATTAAACAAAATGTAGTACAGTTGATTGGTAACAGGCAAGTGATGCAACAAAATTTTTAATTGGATAATATTACACTGCAACTGTTGTTTTGCCTTCTTATCTCATCACAGTAAAAAATTGGGTGTTCTCTTGCACGTTACATTGCAATGCAAAATTGCAATGTTGATTGGCAAGTTGACCTGAGCAACTTGCAGTTGTTTTGGGAAGATATTGTCAGACTGACGTTCGGTTTATACATCAGAAATTCAACATTTTCATATTTAAACTGCTATTTACATGAGAGAAAATACTCCCCACTCACATGACAGTATGATATTAAAATACGAATTTGTATTTTCTTACTACTTAGGGAAAAAATGAAGCCTAATTAGGGAATATGGGCCGTAGGTTCGATTCCCACTGTGGCCAGGCATATTTTTCAAGCTTGCCCAGTGTGGATACACACTCAGAGTAACATCACAAATATTATATTCACACAACACCAACACAAACAAATCATGATTATTAGATTACACTGACGTCGAAGGAACTAGACTCAGTTCTGAAATATCACATGATACTCGAACCGACCTGACCGCGTAGCTCGGTTGGCAGAGCATTGGGCTAGTATTCCTAAGGTCGTAGATTCGATTCCCATCGTGGCCAGGCATATTTTTCAAGCTTGCCTGGCATGGATATGTATACACTCAGAGTAACATCGCAAATATGAATTGCGGTCGTTTCGCCAATGAGTCGTTTCGCCAACTATCAGTTCGCCAACGTCTCAGGTTGATTCGCCAACGTTTGCCCACGTTCTTAAGTCAGTTCGCCAACGTTGCATATAGTTCATATCAGACATGGACGACATGGATATATAAATCTATTGTTTGTAGAAAGTAATTTTTTTGTAGGGCCTTAAACTCACGAAATGTGAAAGTTTTTATGCATATAATATACCATTCAAGCAAACACAACTGAAGAGTTTTCAAACTAAGAGTCAAACAATACAAAGATTAACCCATTAAGCGCCAGCGCTCTCTCCTTGACGAGTAAAATCGTCTGGCGTTAGACAGAGTAAAATACTAAAGTAGGGTTATCAGGGTGCAATACGACTCAATGGGTTAACTATAAACACGCGGGCAGATAGGCCAGTTAACCATTAAGCGCCAGCGCTCTCCCCTTGACGAGTAAAATGAGGGCCCCCTATACCTCTTCACAATATGCTTTCACGTAAAATATTTTGCCTTTTCACGAGTCACGAAAAATTGAAAAAATTCCTTCACGTTCACGGAAAAATTGAAGCGATCACGATTCACGTAAATAAAACAAAATTCACGAATTATTATATGGATGTCTTCCTTAATTGTAGAATCATTGTACTCGTCTGTACTTACCTCGACATGCTTTCAAACCTCCAACTATGTCGAAAACAGGCTTCTGTACATCAAGTACTTCAAAAAACAGCAACAAACCGTATTTATTCCTTGGAAAGCTGATCACACAAAAGGTCACAAAACAGATGATTCACGAATCCCGCATATTTCTATCTGCCATTCACGGGTCACAGTTAAATCGAATCTTTCCTTCACGTGCACGTAAAAAGATTGGAAGTCATACTATCACGAATCACAGATTAAGAAAATCATCGATCACGTTTCACGGCTAAGTAAAATAAGCCCATCACGCTTCACGCAAAAAGTATAGGGGGCCCTCTAAAATCGTCTGGCGTTAGACAGAGTAAAACACTAAAGTAGGGTTATCAGGGTGCAATACGACTCAACGGGTTAACCGTACACTGCACTAACAAAATTCCACAATAGAGCATAGAACAATAACCAAAGACACCTACGGTAATTAGTGACGGCTAGTGACGCTTTTGATCACCAACGTTCTAACATATTTTCTACAAACAGTGTTTGTGTTTCATGGTTTCATATTATAAAGACGTGAAGTAAATCATGGATTGTTTATTTTACAATCCATGATTAAATGTTGCATTGGTGAACTGACATAAGAATGTGGGGAAACGTTGGCGAATCGAACCGAGATGTTTGCAAACTCACGGTTGTGCACCTAGGGAGGGGTGTGTGGGGTGTGTGCGGGCGACCCAGGGGATTTTGAACACACTATGAAGCCCCAGTGAGGGGAATTTGACCGCCAATTTTAACAAGTATGGCGGAGAAGCAAGATCAAGTTTCATCGAAAAAGGTATTTTATACGCAGTGTCTCAATTTTTACCAAGTTTAAACCAGTATAGACTGTATGTTCGCATTGGAAAACATACAAGTGCCTTGTTATCTTAGGAATATAGTGAGGAATTTTGACAGCCCTTCCTTGCCCAACAGTGGGGATTTAATGACTACAAAATTTTAAAAATGTCAAAATTCCATTGGGTTGCCCGCATCCCCCTCTCAGGGGGAAAACATTGATAGGTGCATTGCCGAAACGACTCGTTCGCGAAACAACCGGTTACAATATCATACTGAGAAACACTGATCAAGCCAAATTGACAATCGAGGTGTGGTTTTGATTGTAAAAAGATTTTGGACTATTTAACAAATTTAACTAAATGGAAGCGATGTGTCTGTCGTAAACTTGGCGCAACTATAAAGCAGCATATACAGGGTGTATCAAAATAAACGCAATTCATCTTTTGTGCTTAATAACTTTCGAAATACTATTTCTAGTTAAACGCTTTTAGGCTTACTTCAAAGCCTGTTCTTTTCTCTTTCAAACAAACTATTATCCTTGTCTCCAATGCTAGTAATAATTGCACAGGAAAAGATTTAGTAAAACCTATCATTTTTAGTTGCCGTTTAATTATGCAAGTTTACTATGTTATTGTTTAGTCGGTTTAAATGTTAGAATGTTGTCGTCACTACATCTGGAAAACCATGTAAGAACAAATTAAAAGTATTTTAAAAGAGACCAGGTTGTTTGAAAATCCTAAACGAATGCTAAAAATCGTCAAAACATTCTGGTGTCTGAGCCAGAGTGTCATCGAATTGCGATGTAATGTAAACGGAAATTATAGCAAGTTGATGTCAGTCAGCTTAGATGGTCCAAGCCAAAATTATATCGCATTTGAAGTTTCAAACTGAGTTAAAAATAGTGGAAGAAAAGCCGTAATTATACTTATTGTTACAATCCATTTAATAAAATGCAACATTTTTTTGTTTTAATGAAAAAATCAGTTATTTTCATGAGAACGATTTGTTATTCCATCTCAATTTTTTTAATCTCCAATCGCAATAACGTAAAGTATTATTACCCGCGAACCAATGAGTCAAATTTAAGAAACAACCCACTGTTAGAAAGCTGAATGGCTACGCTTTAAAATGAATGTAAACTTTAACGTTTTGCCTTTTGGTCTATTATTTGTTTAGCAATTTACATTTCAGTCGAGGTTGCGCTTTTTTTGATACACCCTGTATATTATATATTGCAAGAAGACGAGAAAAATAATGCATATATTTTCATATTCTTGGAAAAACGTTTGGCCATACCGCACCGCAGTTACATATGCAACAGCCACAAGACAAATGAGATATTATAAATTTATATAGGGCGGCGATGAACGTTAATATATATAAAATTATATGATATAATCAGTAATATTTCATACCTGAGATCAAATAAACCTTCGGCAAGATTATTCACTTGCTGTATCCAATACAAAATATAAATATGAAATTATTAAAACCACGCTTTTCCTGATTTAGCTTTTCTTCAGCGAAATATATTACAGACTTAATACAGTCAAACCGGATGTTCTCTTGCGAGCAACATTCAAAATATTGTCATAGAATATTGCAATTTTGATAGGCAGATTGCTGTGAGCAAATTGCAACCGACGCGAACAACTTTGCTACACTGTGACACGAGATTAAGAGTTTATCACACTTAGTTTGCAATATTTTACGAATTTTTCTCTTTTTCGATCGTCGTAGGAGTGAAAAACTATATATAGGCGAAATGACAATGCCACTTTGCTGAGGTATTTGAAGTCATTTTCTACAATGTACGATGTGCTTTCTTGCACTTTTGACGATGTCTGATATTCATTGACAAATTATGTGCATAATTTATAGTTTTCTTTGCATAGATATTAACTAGTTTTGTTTACAAATTTTACATTGTATGCATGAATGTATACATAGTATTTGTAAATATTAAGTTAATTCATCTATTACGTATTTTCTCTAATAAAACTCTTGTAACAGGGAATGTGAGTTTCAGAAAATGTGTGTCTGAGTGTCTCAGACAAAATTATTCTAGAATATTTATTAAATATCTCACCTACAAACAACAAATTCCCATGAATAGTGATCCAATCACATTTTGTCCTGATACATGAAAGCGAGGTGCCCAGGCTAAACCGGCATACATGACATAATTATTGAAAAAGCCTAATTTGTTGTATAAATCTCAATAAAATCTGTGTAACTACTCACTTGGTAATGACTTTAACCTGCAACAAGTGTTATCATGCAAATGTGCAACTCCCTGTTGTTGTTATATACTAATACTATTTTACATTAATCCAATGAGTCGCATTGCGGCCTGATGCGCCCTACTTTATTGTTTCACTCTGTCTAACGCCAGACGATTTGACTCAAGGGGAGAGCGCTGGCCCTTAATGGGTTAAACATTAACAAAATTAAATAGTATAAAAAATACAATTCAACCTCAATGCTCAATGAAGTGGTCATAAAGTAGACTTGGGGGGGGGGGGCTCCAATGTCTATTTATTCAAAAATCACTGATTACAGTAATAGGTAGACTGAAAAGATCAAGAAGTGTTAACGAACACTGATACAAAAACTTACATTGACCTGTTGGTGTCGACATGTGTTGAACATTATATTTATGTGTGATTAATATGCGTATAAAGCAAAATATTAAGCATGATTCGTAAAGTAGGGCTGCCTAACGGAGGTTCGACTATAGGAGTCTCATATTGGCCGCAGTCTGGAAAGTTTGTAGTTTGCGGCATACTATTTTTAGTATTTTACATATTAAAACAAAAATTAGCTGCACCCTTTGCAAACTTTCCAGTCAGGAATATAATTACTATAGATTGTGAGACTTGTGTACACAAAACAGATTTTATAGAATGCTAAATGTTGAATTCCCATTTAGTCAGTGTGCTAATATCCTACACATGTAGTCTGTACTAACATTAGAGGAAACCTGTCCAATATACCCAAATTATATATTTTTGTAATATGTTGTTTGTAGGTGAGGTATTTAATTTTAGAATAATTTTTGTCTGAGACACACAGTTTCTGAAACTCACATTTCCTGTTACAAAATTTTTATTACAGAGTCTTTGTATAAATAGATGAATTAACTCAATATTTACAAATACTATTGTATACATTCATGCATACAATGTAAAATTGTAAACAAAACTAACTTCTAGTTAATATATATGCAAAGTAAACTATAAATTATGCACACATATGTCAATGAATATCAGACATCGTAGAAAGTGCAAGAAAACACATCGTACATTGTAAAAAGTGACTTCAAATACCTCAGCAAAGTGGCATTTTTATTTCGCCTATAGTTTTTCACTCCTACGACGATCGAAAAGGAGAAAAATTCGTAAAATATTGCAAACTAAGTGTGATGAACTCACTTTTCCAATACGCGTACTGACTTTGAAAGTTTTAAACACAAATTTAACCACACACTCCCTCTCTCGGGCAAATAAAAAGAGTTTATTTTCATGTTTGTTGTCTCAAAATAAATTGTTGCCAAATTGTTGCGCGCCATTTTGAAATTTAATGTCGGTGACTGCCTCTAGTCAGTGAACTCTAATAATAACTGGAAGGCTAACTCCTATGATGAAAGTCTATGATTCGTTGAAGCCGGCGCGCGGGAAAATCAGCTTTCAAAAGGACTAAGGAGAGTTTCGAGGAGTGAAAAAAATTCTGTCAAAAGTTTGTTTTCGAGCAAAATTTTGCAAGAAAAACACTTTTCCCATGGGAATACAACAATGATTGGGATTTAAACCAAGTTTCCGATTAGTTCTGACTGTTTTACATCTCTCCGCAGCAAAAAGTAAGGAATTTTGCTTTTGTATTTTGAAAAAATGACGAAAGTTTGGACGTGCCGAAGGAAATCTCGCCGTTCAACTAAAAAATATATACCATAAAATATTTTGACAGTCCCAAAACTTATGTTGTACTAAACCCCAGGTATTGTTATTGATCCTGAGCTTTTAGTCCTTGTTTTAGTCGCTCTTAAACACAAATAAATTGGCGTTTTCAAGTGATGTTATTTTCGTCATCGGCATCTTGTTGGCCACTATGAGCACTTTGAATATGGCAATATTTTTGTCAATTTTCAAATGCTTTTTTTCGACCTTAAAACGTTAAATCTTCTTGAAACTTCGCATACAGATGTATTTTGCATGGGTATAAAAAATTCCTGAGGTATGACGTCTTAGTTTTATCTTAAACTTCCAAAAACTCAGAAAAAGCAGCCTAAAACGCGCGGTTTTTCAGACCGTTCATGCTTATGGTCGTGTTTTTCGCATTTTTTTGCTAATTCGTGATTTGTTTGCTTTGCGAATATTAAATTCATTTATCATACTACTGATATATATTAAATTTGGTAGTATAACTAATATTTTGGGGCAAGATTTTTCTGATAAAAAAATGTGCATATTTTGAAAAAAAAAAATTTAAAAAGACTGGGTCTACCTACAAAAAAAGCTTCAAGCACGGCTTCAACTTACCCCCCTGACTTAGCCTTCCAGTTATTATTAGAGTTCACTGTTGATTACGTGTTGTATCATCATCAACCGTTCGCTGACGCGAAATGTCGCCATCGAGAAAAATTCAGCGCTGGGAAATTCGAACGCGCGCGAACAAACAAGTTAACGCGTCAGCGAACGGTTGATGATGATGCAATCACGTAATCAATAACAAAATCGTGAACAAAACCGCCTGATGATCGTCTTATATATATATATATATATATATATATATATATATATATATATATATATATATATATATATATATATATATATATATATATATATATATATATATATATATATATATATATATATATATATATTTATTATAAACTTTATAATAACTTCTAAACAAGTAAAGCTATCAAACAGAAATAACTTAAACAGCATTAAATAGAGAAAGGACTAACTTAGATTTTGATATGTTACAGTTGTAATTTGAAAGAAATTATGTAACCGTTTTTGTAATAGTAAACCATTATTTTGTAAATATATATACCATACCCTGTAAATTCATTTAGATTGCTCTGAAGATGTTGTATTGTAAACAACGAAACGTTAGCTAATTAAAATTTTACTTTTATTATGTTTGGTTTTAAAGTTATTTGCTGGGCTCTGCTCTTTATCTTTAAACTAAAGTAATTCTTGTTAATTTTGAAATTGGGTATTTCTGTATTCAATGGAGGACTGGAGGTTAGCTGGTTAGGTGACCAGAACTTCCTTCAAACAGCATAAAGCTAACTACCATAGGTCTAACTACGCCTAGGACCTAGGTTTGATTGTAACGTAATAATTTATTTAGAACTTATGATGACATATTTAGAGGGGAACTTTCTTTTTGTGTTGTGTTTAGTTCGCCAACTATCCCCTGGACCAACGACTGAATTCTATCTTCCGTCACATGCAGGCCGGTTATTTTCAAATATAGCGCTGGTAATGCCACAGAATAATTTAAATAATTAAGATCACTAGTTCAGCTACGATAAGTTGGCTACTTTGAACACGTGGTAAAAACTACAGACGTCAAATGAGTGTTGGATTGATTCTCGCTATAAAATAAATATTAAAATAAGGAATCCTGACGATTACTAGAACTTAAAGTAAACGAAACGATGAATCTGAACTATAATTCTCAGAATGATCATTGTTGGTTAAATTCTAGTCATCACGCTCATGTTTTTAAAAAATTCCAAGAATTTAGCATTTTTTAGACAGGAAGAGCAGGGCAGGTTAGACCAGCCTCACGGACAAACGTGTCGACCTTCTCCAAATCTTGCCATTCGACTCTTCGTAAATTTGTCCTAATCTCTGCCCCGATTTTTTCAATGTAACGCTCTAAAATATCCAAACAGCTTTTGGTGCTCTCGGCCGGGTTCTTGCCAGCGCAAGGATGCGGATTTTTTCTCCTGTGGGCATGCGTATCGGAATTGAAAAGGTGTAATAAATAGTTAATGTCAGACGGTGGGTGTTTCTCGCACATTGCAACCTTTCGTCCGGCGGCTACCTGCAACAAACAGTAAGTCATCGGTATGGATTTTGCGTAAAAGTCGACAGTGTTGAAAGGCCCGTGATAAGCTGTTTGTGGAAGTGTTATGACACCTTTTACATGCTCAGGCTGAATTTTATGACCTTCAGGCAATCCTTTATTGTACGCATTGAGATCGCCGCAAATCTCTAAATTCCAACTGTATCGATCCTTTTCGAAGTACCAGGCGTAGCTTATGACAACGGAGACAGGGGAAATGAAACCAGTTCCTGTATGGTAGAATTGCTTGAACGCTGCTTCAAAG